ACCACTGTCGCCGTGCGTGTAAACCCGCACCCGCGGCGGTTTCCCGCGCTTCTGAGGCTTTGCTCTGGCAAAGCCTCAGAAGCACGGGAACCCGCCCGGTGCCCCTGGTCTGCTGGAGACGGTCTCCAGCAGACCAGGGGCACCGGAGTAGCTTACGAACGGGGCTTTCTCGCCCCGACTTCCGGGGCGAGAAAGCTCCGTTCGTAAGTGCGGATCCGACGTAAGTCAGATCCGCGTAAGTCGGGGACTGCCTGTACTGAAAAGCAGCCTCTTAATTAAAAAACAAAAAAAAAAACCCTTGCCTTTCTTGCATCTGCCCAACTGGGGTAAAAGGACAATAGTACAGATAGCTGCATGCTGTTAGTTTGCACCAGTTAAGTTACTTTAAAGGTAGTGAGCACTGAATATTTCAGAGAGCCCATTTGCAATTAGGAAGAGTAACTATTGATACAGTAATTGGGTTCTGAAAGATGCCTTGCAGGAATGGTTCCAGTGAACCTATGTTGAAATCAGTCTCTGAAATGTTTCTGTTTTGACAAGTTGACAAATTCTGACATGTTCCACTGAAATTTTTTTCAACCAGCTTTACTAAATTTTTCCTAGAATTGGGAAAACGTTAGTTATCCATCACCGTACTATAGGTTGGTTTCTCTTTGGTCTGGCACCCTCAGGACCTGACTGGTCCCAAACAACTGGTCCCACCTCCCCTCCCCAATACCAGTCCCAGCAGCTGGACTGTCATGGCCCCAGGGCTGCTGTGGTTGCTGAGTCGTTGGCCTCACTACTAGGGCTTCCGAGTTCGTGGCTCCAGCTCTGTTACTGGGGCTGCCACATCCTCACTCCCATTACTAGGGCTGCTGCAGTCCCAGCTGCGTTACCAGGACTCCTGCCCTGGTCCCAGCCCCAGCCTCTTTGGGCTCTGAGCTGCCAGCTCTCTTGCCACTGGGGCTCCCAGCCGGGATTCCCTGGTCCAGGAACATCTGTGGTCCTGCCAGATAACAGATGTTGCCAGAGCAAAGAGTCCTGGTTTTGGGAGGTCCGACCTGTAGTAATTTAACATTTCATACATGCAATACAGCTGTATTTTAAAATATCAACACGGTCACTTTAGGCCTGATCTAGAAAGGATTTAAATTTCTGCCTGCTGCCCTACCCTGTTCTTCAAGATATTCTGCTAGGTGGGCTGCCATAGAAGGGGACCCCCAGGCTTCAGAATGGCCTGCCAACTGAAGTGCTCCAGTGCTGGGAACACATTCCTTTTTCTGATTTGGAACAAAACTTAAAAGTTCAAATTTTGAATTACCAAAAATTTCTGTGAAAGGAAATTGCTTTTCTCTGCCTAGCCTTATACTCTAGTTTGTAACATTTAAGCTCATGTCATGCTCCTACAAAGGGATAGCAGTAGCAGCAACACATAGCTAGCTGTCTAACTGGGTTTGGGAATCTTAGTAAGGGATCAGGGTAATACTTCTAATATTTCCCCTCTTAAGGAAATCTAACCCTGATGTGACAGAGTTTATGAAACAGCAAGGATTTGGCACTGACTATGCTAAACTGGAATCTTACTATATTGAGAAGTAAGTTGTGTTTTTCACTTTCACCAGCATATTTAATAAAACTTATTTTTTCTAAGGATGTAAGGAACTAGTCAACTATCCAATAAGCAAAAGCTTGTGGGATAGTCAACTAGTCCCTTGACTAGCCACTTCCGCCCTCCCCTTGCTACATGTATCAGAGGCAGTAATGTGTACTTGGGGTGAGGGTGGGGGGAGAGGAAGGGGTACTGGGAGGAGCCAGCTTAAAGCCAGTTCCCCCCAGTTCCAGCTCCAGAGGTGCAGCAGTGGCCTTCCACCTTTGACGTGTACAAGAGTCTCTCCTGGGACTCTTGTACGTTTCAAAGCAGAAGTCCCACCTGGAGCATGGAGCCAGCAGAAGACACTTGAACATTTCAAAGGCAGAATGCTGGGGCACTTCTGCCTTTGAAAGGTAGCAACAGCTGGGCAGGCTCTTGCTAAATTTCAAAGCGGACTTGACCTTATTGACTAATCAAGTAGTCGATGGACATTCCATCAACTATTCAATTAGCTGATTGATCTAATTTTAACATCCCTAATTTTTTCTTCCCAGACCTGTCCCCCTCCTCAAATTCTGTCAGCCCTAAAAAACACCTAGTTTATTAGTAAGTGTGCATGATGGCATAGAGAGGGGTTGAATTACAAGACCACACATTTTTCCTCTTCAGATACAGAGCATGAGACTTACAACTTTTTGGTGCAGTGCAGATTTAACATTCAGATGCTTGGGTGCTAGTGATAAGCATGCTCTAAATATATATCCATGTGTGTCTTGTCATTTAAATGTCTTCGGTTTGAGTTGACTGTGGTAATTTAATATTTTGATAGAAGTAACCAGATTTAACCTTTGTATCCCTTAACATTTTTGAGCTAACTTATACCCTGCATTTTTTTTCTAACTAAAAACCACACCCCTTTGTAGTTGTGAATCTCTGGCTAGAGTCACTGGTTTGTGTTAATCCTTCCCTTTCAGAGGATTCTTAAAGCTTGTGTCTTTTGTGTAAGGCAGATGGGTGAAGGACAAGAAATACAAAGATCAGGCTTTGTTGTAGGCCTTACGCAACACTATACATTGGGCTGAGAGCCTATTGCTGCATAAATATCACACAAGTGCAGTATTTTTGCATTAAAATTAGGTGATCTAAGAACTACCATTTTTAACTATAATCCTATGTTTTAAAATTCTAGAATCTTGGGTATTGTTTCCTCTGTTAACAAAGGATACATAGTCTGGCAGGAGGTGTTTGATAAAGGTGTGAAGGTAAGATCTGACAAAATAGACAAATCACTTAACACAATACTGCAAAATGCCTTTAATTTAGTCTCTGATACCAATGGAACTGTATTGATGCTGAAACTTTACAGAATTGGAGCCTAGCTTGACTCAGATTTTAAGGTCAAAAGGGACTACAGATGTTAAATTTTGATTAATCAGCTTATTGCATAACTACTTGATTAGTTGATGGGGGGGGGGGAAGCACAGTGGGGAACTCAGCGCAAGAGGGGACTGCTTCAGTCCCCACTTGCCCCAGGTTCCCTGCTATACCTCTGCCTCCACGGTGCAAGGGGGCAACGGGAGATGATGATCTGATACCCCCCAAATCCTTCCCCCTCCCCTGCTTGCTGCCTCTGATAGTGGCAGCAGGAGGAAGGGGAGGAAATGCAAGTAGTCAAGTCGACTACCCAATAAGCCTAGGCTTATCAGGTAGTCAACTATTCTATTACATCCCTAAAAGAGACCATCATGATCATCTAGTCTGATCCTCTTGCTCATTGCAGACCACAGAACCTCCCACATCTGTCACAGACCTCTAACCTCTGGTTGTGCCAATGAAGTCCTCAAATTATGATGTAAATACTTCAAGTTAAAGAATCCACCATTAATGCACGTGGGCGAGGCCCTTCAGACAGACATCAGGAAAAGAATTCTCTGTAGTAACCCAGAGCACTCCCCGTCTAGTGCCCCATCACCAGCCACTGGAGAGATCTGCAGCTGCTAGCAGCAGATCAGCTACGTGCCATTATAGGCAGTGCCATCAGACTCCTCCATAAACTTATAAAGCTCAGTCTTGAAGCCAGTTAAGATTTTTTGCCCCTAGTGCTGCCCACAGTAAGATTGCTAGAACAGGAATTTTACCAAGCTTCTTTCTACAGCACTTGATTTGAAACTGATAGTCATAAGGACATTAGAACTTCTAGATAGGTGCGGGAATGTGCAGTGATTATTCACTTGTATAATAAGTGTATGATTATTCACTTATTATTGCTCTGTGATCAATAACTTTGCACTCTAACTGCATTGGAATAGCACTAATATCTGAAGTCCCTTATTTCATTCATTTATTTAATTCAGAGCAACATTAAGGCATTTACTTTCAAATATATGTTTGACTTCATCTTGTTACAATCTCCTTTTAAAACAATCACATTGATACACTAAAAACTTAACTTTAAAGAATGCTCTCATTTCTTTAGAGGAAAACAAGGAATGGAAATCTGACATCTTTGAAATGTTGGTCCTACTAAAACAAACCACTCCTTTGTTTGAAACTAGACTCAGGCATTCAGTGACAACAGATTGCAAAATCATATATAGCCATTTACTTATGTTAGTGTGTCTTCTTATTTTTTCTAGATAAAATCTGACACAATAGTTGAAGTGTGGATTGGAAATTTGTATACTACAGAACTAAGCAATGTAACGAGAGCTGGGTTCACCACAATCCTGGCAGCCCCCTGGTACCTAGACTATATTAGTTATGGACAGGATTGGAAGAAATACTACAACGTACAGCCACTAAACTTCAGTGGTGTGTTAAGCTGCTTTTAAATTATTTATTTCAACTTTTCTGTGGCTTTTCTGTATACATGAACATTTTTCCCTTGGCTATACAGGGTATGTCTACATAGCATTTTGGAGCCTGCTGGAGCAAACCTGCCAGCCTGGGCCAGTAGCCTTAGGCAACAGGGGCTGACGCTGCCACGCTAAAACTGCTGTAACAGACAGCATTCTGACAGTGTGGCTCAGTCTGGAATTTGGGTCCTGATGCCTGGGGAAGAAGGGGTGTCCAGGTGGCTCTTTTTCTGGGAGACTAATACACTGTAAAAAGGGACAGCTATTTGCAATACCTGCTTAAGACATCCCCAACTAATACATTTTAACAGCAACTGCTTTTCATAGTTGATGCAATCTTCAGATCCATACACCTAACTTCCTATTTGCCATCAGATGCCTACTGGTACTTGAATGCTCTACATGTTCTGAAGCCATACTGAATCACTTAAGACACAAGACTTCATTTAGTTAATGCTAAGCTTGCAAGCCCACCTCAGACTGATATATTTCTAAAGGCTGGGACATGCATGATAGGTTTTTTTTTTTGGAAAAATCTACATTCAGCTATCAGAGGTGAAGTTTATAGCAGTTGCCTGTTACCTGCAGTTGGAGTAATAGTTAATTTCCATGCTGTTTTTGTGCTTTGAACACAGGATCTGAAAAGCAAAAAAAGCTGGTGATAGGTGGAGAAGCCTGCCTTTGGGGAGAATTTGTGGATGCAACTAACCTGACACCAAGATTATGGTATGGGACTACTTGATCATTTTCATTTAAAGGTTGGCTGCTCTTTGCTCTGGATGCTGAAGGAGGCAGGCTTTGTGCGCTGCCCTGCCTCCCAGCAAAATCTCTCGGCTCCTATTGGCCAGATTCTGGCCAATAAGAGCTGAAAAATTTTGCTAGAGGAGCAGTGTGTGAAGTCTCCCCACACCCTGCTCAGAGCAGAACCACAGGGAGCAGCCTGTAACTGCAGCTCAGGTTCCTGCAGCACTGTTGGCTGGGAGCCACATAGGTAAGTACCTCCCAGAAAGAACCTGCCTCTGGCACCCCACCCTTTCTTTCCCCTTCAACTACTTGTCTCAGGTCACCATCCAAACTCTGTACCCCTTTCCCACAGATCACAACTCCCTCCCAGGCCCTGAACCCCCTCCTGTATCCATACCCCCCCTTCCCTGACCCTGCACCCCATTCCCCTGCCTCAGATCACCACCCAAACCCTCTGCACCCCCTTCTCAGGTCACAACTCTCTCCTACACCGTGTACCCCTTCCTAGAACACCTCCCCAGACCAGAATCCTCTTGTGCGCCCATATCCTCACCTGGACCCTAACCCTCAAGCTCCTGCCCCAGATGACAATCCCCTCCTGCACCCAAGCTCCCTTCTGCACCCATCCTCCTTCCCAGACCCCTCATCCCTCCACAGAAATGCAACCCTTGACCACTTGCCAAAGTCTTGGGAGTGGCCCCCCATTAAAAACTATTACCCACCCCGCATTAATCCCTGGGGATGGATTATCTGAGATGTACAGATGATCTAGGCTGCAGAGGTGGTGAAAGTCCTCAAGTCCCTGTCAGTCTGACCTGGGAGAAAAATCCCTTCTTGATTCAGATGGGTCAGTTAGTTTGACCAGGAGTGTGTGGGCAGGACTCACTAGCCAGGCATTAAAGAAGATTCTCTGTACCACTTCAGAGCAATCTCACGCTATCAGGTATTCCCATCTTCAATTTTGGCCAATTCCGTGATACTTGAGAAGGCCAAAAAAATCCAACCTACCTTTAGCCAGTTGTGCATCTGAGGTAGAATTGCATACCTGAGGAGATCAGAATAACAGCTCAAACATGAGGTTTGATTAATCAGTGTCAGTGAAGAGCTGCAAGCATTAGGCATATGTTGAAGGCACTGCAGCATTTTGTACAGCTGTTTGGTTGCTAACACAGGTCAGCAGTAAAAATGTTTCCTGTGGGCTTAAGCCCCATTATTAAATTTGTTCTGTTCTGGATTTAATGTCTTTGTACAGGCCTCGAGCAAGTGCTGTCGGGGAGAGGCTCTGGAGCAGTGAAAATGTGACTAACATAGGGGATGCTTATAACAGACTAGTGAAGCATCGTTGTCGCATGGTCAGGTAAGATAACAGGGTCACTCTCCGTTCCATGATTTATTAGAAATACTGAATAGTGGTTTGAAATTAATTGTGATTCTACGTTGCTCACTTGGAAACAGTTCACTGTTTATAATGCATTTATCTTGCTGTCTTCAATTCTAAAATTTGGATAGAACAGTTACTTTTCCAATAAATGTAGCTCACTCTAGTTTGTAGTACCGCTGCATAGTCACACTTGTCAAATGGTCTGAGTTTCAGGAGCTTTTTAAAAAAAGCTGCCTATAGGCTGTTCAAACACTCCTTCATGTTCAGCCAAGGTCACATACATGGAGGCCACGGGTCTAAGGAGAAATGTTCCTGCTTGGAGAGTTCTTATTAACAATGTGAAGAAACTTTTCCTCCGGGGAAAAAAATGCTCTAGTTTGTATTACATCCACAATAGACCTGCTGAAAGAGGATCAGCAGCTGCCTTATCCACACATCTAGGAACTGAAATAAAATGCATGTTCTTTCCAGGTATTTTTAAACCTTTCTATGGTGCTGACTGTAGGGAGTCTTTCTATTCAGACTCTTACTTACATATTCAGGAATGGATAAATACAGCCTATCCCCAAGTTACGAACAAGTTACAGATGAAACACTTGGCCATAACTCGATCCGTTCGTAACTCTGACCCCATTGAGTTACACGCGACCGTGCTGTTCGTAAGCGCGGGTCACGTTCGTAATTCGGGGACCGCCTTTACGACCGCTCCATGGGAGCTTTTGAGTGTAAGTGCGGACGGTTGTAACTCGACCGTTCGCAACTCTGGGAGCGGCTGTAGCTATTATCTGCTGCTTATGATTTGCGGCTATCACAGCTAGTATTTTAGCAGATGCTCTGCAGCAGTTTTATAAATGTCAAGTTCAGAAGTGACCTGTCGCCACCACAAGCTGGTCTGACTGCTGAGAGGATTCCAGTTTTTTAAAAGGTAAAGTGCCCCAAAGTAGTCTGAGAGGATGGGGACAACAAAAGCAAACAGTTAGCAACTGGAACTGGAAACCAAACAGTCTTCTGGACAAACAGTAACTTACACTAGCTTACCCCAAACCAATTTTAAAATGCTTAGCTTTTAGTAAACTGAGTAACTCGGTAAGCCATTCTGCCTATGCTACTGATCTAAGGTGCCTCCTGTTAATAAGGACTCCCAACTTTGATCTGAGCCAGGTCTTGGGAGAGTCTAAAGTCATGGGATGAGGAAGAATTAAACTTCATAGCCACAATGGAATATCTCCCTACAGTCAGCATCGTGTGGCCATAGATTGACCATTTTTCTTTGCTAGGCAGGCCAAAGAAAAACTCCCAAAAGACAATGACTGCGAGCCTATTTCCCCTGCTCCAGTAAGGATGTATGGACTGAAGCTTCCCTTCTGTTGTTACGGAGACAGCTTTGCTAATGCACCACTGCAATGCTGGGTGGGAGAAACTGAATCTTTCCAGGCCCAGAGCATAGGTCCTAAACTTATAACTAGTCTCAGAAAGGAACTGAGGTGGCCAGAACTTCCCTCATTTTAAGCCTGTGCTGAATGTTGCTGTCAGACTTTTATAGACCAGACAGTGCCTTCTACAGGTAGAATCATGCAGAAGTTACTCAAAACTACTTCCTTATGTAAATGATCTAAATAACTTTCAACTCTATTACAAAGGGCTATCTTGGAATAGTGAAATCCTGGAGGGAGGAGGGACATGGCATTTCTCAGTAGTAAAGTTACCATTGTAAAAACTTTTAACCAAGGATTTAAGGTCTTAGCTATTCCTGTAGTTTGGGGTGGTTACATCAGTGTCTGAATCTTCAGTGGAAAGATACATACAACCTCAGTGACTGCTGGTACAGTGGTGATAAAAGGCAATGGCTATTGTTCAGTGACAGCTGTAACTCCCTATGCAGGAAAACAGAAGCCTAGCTGCAAGTGCAGGTCTGTAGGGTTGGTAGCTAAACCCCAGCTCCCTAGAACCATGCCTTATCTAGAATCCCTCATTGCAGACTCCATTAAACCTGCTGTAAGAGGTGTGCAATATTAACTACCTCTTCCTTTCACTGTAGCTTTGACGTTTTGTTTAGATGGAAACATTAAATATTGCACTGTTGATCATTTGAAAACCAACAATAGAACACCACTTGTCATCACCTACAACCCCCAACTTACATTTTCTTCAACCCATACTGCACATCTTATTTGCACAACATTCATCACCACAGCTTCTATATAAAACATTGTTGGGCAGTTAAAGATCTACTACACCATCAAGTGTGGTTTTAAAGCCTTAGTATTTCCTACACTGCTACCCCAAAAATAGAATAAAATAAAAGACCAAAGACAAATTTAGTGAGAATGGAGTGAACTTGATACTTCAATGCTATACTGCACTATAAACAGACCCCCCCCAAAAAGTAATTAAAGCTGAATATAAAGGCAAAATGTAGTCTGTTTTTATGCTTCTCCTGTATGCTGCTTGTTTTCAAATGGCAAGAAGGCTGTGCTGATGCTCCTCCATACAGTTGGAGCACCTTGTACTTAAGATTTATAATATGCCAGTGTCTCAGATTAGACCACACACAGTAGCATACTTCATAAGCCAACTGTGCCATTTAAAGCTCTGGTTAGGGCCATCTTTTCATCCCCTCAAAGTCATTTTACTTTGCCTGCTCAGGCTTAATTTGCTCCATAAACAAAGCTAGTACTTTCATACCTTATCATTTGCACTAATTCCTTACTTGCCTTATACCATACACATTTATATATTTTATTTTTTTACAGACGTGGAATAGCAGCTGAACCCCTGTATGTCGGATACTGTGATCATGAAATTAGAGAACTGTAATCACTGAAGCAAGATTTCACTAAATTATGTGAAGTTCCTTTGTAGGAAGTGAATCTGCACGTTCAGCACCTGAGATTTGCACTGAAAAAATAGATCCTGAAAAGCTGGAAGTTAGTTATGTATGTTTCTGGCAGAAGTCAGATGTTTTAAAGTTACAGAAATTGATATTAATACAATAATAAATCACAATAGGTGTACAAAGAGTCAAGGACTCGTCTGCTGAAGCTTCTGTATACAGATAGTCCCCAACTTACGAACGAGCTATGTACCAAACACTTGGTCGTAACTCAATCTGTTCGTAAGTCGGACCCCATTCATTTAAATGTGACTGCGCTGTTCATAAGCACGGATCGCGTTCGTAACTCAGGGACTGGCTGTAACGCGCTTAATGGGCGGTGTAGTTATGATGCACCAAGCAGGTTTTATTCTTATTGAATATGCATAATTCAAAATAGCAGCTACTAGCACCCAATCTAGATATCACTATCCATAAAGCTGTCAACAGGAATTCTTCACTATCCATTCTGTCAACAGGAATTCATTCTATAAGCCTTGAGCATGACAATCCTAACAAGGTGACTAGAAGACCATTCAACATTAGGCAGTAAAGGACAACAGAACATGATGCCTAGAGGCTCAGAGCTTAAGGCTATGTGTACACAGCAGCATTATTTCAGAATAAATTCAAAACAACGGGCTTCTTACTCCAACTCCTATAACCTTCACTGTATGAGGAATAAACTCTATTTTGAAATAACTGCTGTATAGACAGTGCCAAAAGTCAAAATAAGCAATTAGCATAGCTTATTTTGAGTTTACCACTTAAGGCAAGTTATTGATATACTTTTTGACAAGAAGGGATCTGAAGACACATTTGATAAATCATTTAATTTGTTACAGCTGTAAAGTATGCTAACAATACAAGCTACTACCTCACATATTCCTGTACTTTGCAACCTATGGATTAAGACTAAATTTCAGGTAGCCAAGTACTGATCCAGAGCTGACTGGCTATGATATACATTACCCTAAAATCATTTGTTTAGTTAAGGGTCATAGATTCATATAAGCTGGACTTTGCACTTCTACACAATGCTAGCAGCAAAAAGAATTTTTCCTTTGAATAAGCTCACAGTGAGGCCCAGGTCTTGTGGAAAGATTTTGCACATAACCAACACTTCTCCCTTTCCAGCAAAGGAGTTTGTCTTACATAAAATATTCCGCACTCTATCTTTATCTAAATGTGTTTCAGTAGTTTAACAATGATGCCTGATCTACAGTTTGTTATAACTATACTGGTCCCAGCATATTAGAAACAGAAGGTGGGTGAAGCAACATTGGACCAACTTCTGCTGGTGAAAGACAAACTTACACAGGGCCACTCACCTTGTGTCTGTGCTACTGTTTCATAAAACATTCCAACATTAAGGCAAGTAATTCTTGTTTGTTCAGCTTAAAACCCTTTAATGAGAGTAGCAGCTTTCATTGTTCAGTTGAAGCTAGATCAATAGAAGACACTGACTAACAGTTAATATTTCACATCTGAGTAAATGTAACATTTTAAAAACTAATTTTCCTACATACTTTAAGTGAAACAGTTCTGATATGATTCATCAAGTTGCATGTAGTGCTCACTTTCACAGAAAGAGGCATCATTGTTCCTTGTGGAGGATTTGAAATGCTATCTTCCAGGAAGATAGCGGCTCTGACTGTTAGGGCATGTGAAGTACAGTACAGAATATGGTGCATATCAAAACAGTCCATTCCAGTTAGCGCCTGTAACTGCCTCCATGCAAACCAGGCAATTCCAGGATCTCACAACACTTCTTTGCCACTTCCACTGGACAGTCAAAGCAAGTTACTTTAAGACAGCACTAACAACGTACACCAAAACCTGGCAAATAGTTTCCCATATATTTTCTAAGCATGAATCTGATCTTTAATGTTCTCCTATGGAGTCAAGTGATCACACCAATCCACTTTTCTTCTGAAGCAGCACATTTTGCTCCTGAATGTTCATGGCTTGGTAGCTGGCAAGTTCCAAAGTAAAAGTTGCTGAGCCTGATGTTAAAGAGCGCAGAACTGTTGAGTAGCCCTAAACCAAAAAAAACCCAACAACCATATTTATAAGTATATAGGTATACCATAATCAATCAATTTATGTTTAGGTAGAGATGAAGAAAGTTTTCTGCCGTGGTTTAGTTTACTAGAGAGATTCAGCTGGAGAAAGACTATCACTAGAAAAATACGTATTTTTAATAAATGCACTCTCTCACTTGGTGTCTAAAATGAAATATCCATATTCCCAATATCAAATGAACAAGTGTTGGGTCAGCATATATGAACCACACTGTATCTCCAGAGAGGTTTTTGATTCCTTCAGCAAAATTAGAAGTATCGGTTCCTAACTTCATCATGTGAAAAATTATAAATATCAAGAAGAATCAGAAAAGGGCAGGCACATTTTTTACTTTGCTTTCACCATTAACATGACCACATACCATCATTTCTGCTAGTGGAACAGCTGCAACCACTACTTTGTTATCTTGCCGACTTTGGATTTCCTGTATGCTGCCTCTCCTCTGTGCAAGATCACCAAGCACTGCAGTGAGATGATCTTCACTCACTGTAATTTCCAGATTCATTAGGGGTTCCAGCAGTTGTTTACTGGCTTTCTTCAAAGCCTAAAATAGAGAAGAAATAAATTACCATTACTCCTCCTTTTAAGATGTAATTCTTCTATAGTGTGGATTATATAATGAAACTAACGAGGGATTTGGGATGTTAAAAATCGTGTATTAGGGTAACTAACTGCTGAAAATCTCAGTGGTTACAAAGTTAGCCATGCTGCAGGCTCTCCAATATAAAGGAGGGGCTCCCTGCTCGTCTCCCAGTGAAGAAGCTTCACTGAGTGTAATCAACACTATTAACCAATAAGAATCCACTTATCAGTTAAACAGTTAGGCATTTGAGCGTAAACATCCATACTAGGGATGTGAATGGTTAACTGGTAAGCATCGCCTGGTAAGTGACGGCCTGGCCTGGCCAGAGCAGCCCACCAAACTGCAGGCAGGGGGCATTTCAGCCTGACTGGAGCAGCCTCTGTCCATCTCCATGTAAGCAATTAACTTGTTAAACATAACATTTAACTGGTTAACTGATTAAATAGTTTTAGGGCTATAAAATCCTAACTTCTGTTTCATACTCCCAACATTCAAGGGCACATGCTCCTATGAAGGGTATGAGAGCAGAGAAAAAGCGAACCTATGCCATGTCGATACGCGTGTATGCATACATACCCTTTTAAAAAAAAAAAAAAAAACTAAAACAAGATGAGGAATACGTTAGAAGATTAACACATGAGATCAAGGCTAAAAAGGACAAGAGAATTTTTGAAAGGGAAAAATATAGACCATAGAGGAGCTCAGTTAAGCTAGGAATACAACTGACTTCACTCCATACAAGACATATATATTACACTGAATCTCTAATGCAACCCCAAAACAGCCACATGAAAAAAAAAATCAGTGCCAAAAACTTACGTGCATATTTGCACAGTGAAATCCACAATAATCTGGGGGAAAAGGGTGATGGCAGAGGGGATGTTAAGAAACGTATTTAATTCCAACCAACTATACAGTTTTATGCAGTGCTTCTATAGGTATTTAAAATAGCTTGGGAAAAAAACCCTACTAATACTGTAACTACAGGCAAGCATGTTTTACATTCCAATAGCTCACTCAGTTAAGCACTAGAGCCAATTTACTGAGAATCCATTGCCAAGCCCATAACACTCATTTTTCAGGTGACAAAACTGAGTATATTGCTATACCCAAAGCTGGCAAATGGTACATGCCACTAAAGACAGCCAAGAAGAGCATAAGGCAAATACTAATTCATACGCTGTACTAGAATCTTTCTTATCTTTTGAAAAGCAATTCTGATTTTGTAACATGCCAAGAAAATATACCTTTTGCATACAACGAGAAACACAAGCAGAAATCATTGGCAGGGAAGTTTCAGAGTGTGCAGTCATGGAATACAAGGTCACTACTACATCCTGAACTGGGAACCCCAGGAGTGGTCCTAGACAAACAAAAACCAACGTGTTAGCATTTCAGCATTTCATGTTGATTTTAATATTAAGTTATGGAAAATATATTTTTGGATTAACCTGAAGGATCCGACATTCCTTCTGGCCTATTTAGGTAGTAGGGTTACTTGTATTATTCCTTGCTCCAAGAATCAGTTTATCATTGTCCAACTCTGCCAAAAGGCGCAGATAGTCAAATCATAATGTAAAGTTGTGATTTACCATCTTTCATTCTTGGTCAACAGTATTATAAGCAACATTTGTCAGAATGATGTTTATGATGTTCCTGGAATGCATTAGTCTATTTTGTTTCTATACATTACTCATAGGGTACGTCTAGACTACATGCCTCTGTCGCCAGAGGCATGTAGATTAGGCTACCAGACATAGGAAAATGAAGCAGCGATTTAAATAATTGCCGCTTCATTTAAATTTACACGGCTGTGGGCTCGGCGGGATAGTCTGGACGCGCGGGTGGCGACATCAAAGGTATTTGTCGACCACCCAGGTATACCTCATTCCAGGAGGCATACCTGGGTGGTCGACAAATACCTTTGATGTCGACACCCACGCGTCCAGACTTTCGCGCGGAGCCAACAAACAGCTGATCAGCTGTTTGTCGGCTCAGCGCGGCAGCCATGTAAATTTAAATGAAGCGGCAATTATTTAAATCGCTGCTTCATTTTCCTATGTCTGGTAGCCTAATCTACATGCCTCTGGCGACAGAGGCACGTAGTCTAGACGTACCCATAGAATTAAAAAGCGATCCTTTTCAGAATAGGCTTAACTGCTAAAAGTCTTCATAGGAAGAAAGACCATTTAATTATGATTAACATGAATTTCATTACATCTTTAGTCAAAAATAGGAGTTTTCTTCATTAATTGTTATAACAAAAGGCAGGTGTTGATTACCTGATCCAAATATAGATTGCAACCCTCCTGGAGTGAGGTCAACTGCCTCCATGGCACCCAAATCCTAAAAAGCCTCCTTAGCAGAACATGGATCTGTACAATACAGTAGGCAGAGGCCCATATCTGGTGAGGACGGGGCCTGGGGAAACCCCCCCTCATCCTATCCTACCTCATCACACCACAAATACACAGGCTAGCACTCCCATATGTTTTCCAAAAGAGAGATATTATGATCAGATCATCTTTTCTGCAATTCACATTTAATTGAGGGGATGTATGCCTGAGACTGTCAGAGACCTGTTTGTGACACATATAGCAGGACTGGAGAGCAAACCCTGACCTCCTGATAGTGTCAGAATATTACAGGGGAGCTACACAATATTTCCCTCAAGCTTTTTTCTTCCCTTACTGTTCCATCTTCCCATGGATTTTACTATAGCAAAGAGCAATATGGCCATGTTATTAACTTACACCATAAGAGAATAGTTGTGATGTCAAAAGATGTTAAATAAAAACAGAATACCAATAATCAATCAGTACAATATGTCTGACTAACTTGATGCTCTATCTGTATTTGGACTTCAGGTGAATATCGTTTGAAGGTACTCACTTGATTGCTATCTGGGCAATGGCTAGATCTGAATCAGTGACTCAGTCTACATTAACTCTCTCACTTTCTTTGAATTTGTGCTCTGCTCTCTTTTGTATTACTACGGCTACACTCAATTTCTCATTATTTCTTAATTTCCCTTCTAGCTCATGCAGCTCTTTCACTCCATATCCTGCTTTGTGTTTTCCATCATGTTCTGAGCCAAGCATCTTAGCAGTACAGGGAAAGTGACTGAAACCTCAAGGCATTTATGTGCTGGCCAAGGAGGTTTTCGAAGACTCAGATTTCTGTTAACTTCAGGGAGATGGTGACAAACATCAACCAGCATTACAACTACAGAATGAAGTTATATAGAAGGTCAATTTAATATTTTCTTTTTAAAAAGGTCTATATTGTGCAGTAAGGCAAAGCTTTTTATTTGATACCTTCAGAGAGCATCTTAAAACAAACCAGATAACATGCATTTTCATTATTGCCTCCTACCTTATGTCATTTCCATTACACTACCATTGTTTATGGATGTCATAAGAATAATACATACTGGATATGGAATCAAATCCAAGTGAGGTTCAATATCAAGGTATCCAAGAGGAAGGAAAAAAGTGAGGTTTTAAAAACGTGCCAAATTCCCTCCAGCATCTGAGTGAAAGGGTATTCAGCACATACTGTAGAAGCTGAACGGATTCTGAAAATTTGCTTTTGTACCCATCATTTTAATAGTGCTATCATAATGCATTTTAGTTTTGGGGCTATAATGAAGCCCTTCTTGCTAGCGGCTAAGGCTACAATTATGTCATGGAGGTCCATGCAATTCGTGACTTCCAGAGACTCTAACATTTTCCACTTCAGCCAAGCTGCCAGCTGGTAGCCCCCTTGCAGCTCCCAGATACGAAGCAGCAGGGGGACCCTGCAGCTCCCAGCCACAAGTGCGGGGTGGAGGAATGACTCCAGAGCCTCAGCAGCTATAGATATTAATCCCTCCTCTCCACATTTTGTCAGGGATATTTTAGTAGAAGTCAGGGACAGGTCACAGACTTCCATGAATTTTTGTTTATTGCCTGTGACCTGTCCCTGACTTCTACTAAAAATATGACAAAATCTTAGCCTTCCTAATAGCACTCGCACTATTTTATTCAAATACACACAAAAATGTTAGTGTCATAATGGTTTTTTACCTTGAAGATATGAATAATTAATTCCATTTTCTATAGCTTCTTTAATGTCTTTTTCAAGTGGTTCAATGAAACTGTCAGTATATTCAATGAGTGGTGTTATTAACGATCTCTCTCCTACCCAGGGTTTTACTCCCAGCTGTATGGAGACCATATGCCGTTTATCTCCTATTGTTCTGTCCAAGGTATCTGTAAGGAAGGTGAAGCACATATCTGAGAAAATTTATAAGTTCCACACTCCATTTAAAAGTAACGTTAACTATTCACATCATTAGAAGACCATTTAAAAATAAGTAAACAAGGTAAAAGGACAGAAAATTAGTGTCTCTCTCTTCTCTCATTTTACCTGTGGCTTGGACTGAGTTTAGGATGGTTTCTCTATACGCTATCTGAAGAGGTCCTAGATAGGTCTCAATGCCATATTCCCGTTTGATTCGGTCATGAATAATCTCAATGTGGAGCTCTCCCATGCCACAGAGAATAGTCTAGTTAAAGAAGTGAATCACAAATAAATTAAGTGAGAAAAGTGAACACTTGCACTCATGGTTACTGCAGACACAGATGGGGAGCTTTTGGGATGCACTATTTACGCTAGGAATTGGCTTGCAAGTATTGTACTGTTCATATTTTCTAAATGTTTTAGAAATTCTATAAAAAGCCCAGATATTACAAGTGAAACCAAAACAACCATTAGGAAGCACCATTTCAGATGATCTAGCACGGTGGTCTCCAACCTTTAACCACAAGATCACTTTTTCAATATAAGTGCAATGTAAGATCTACCTCAAACCCAAATACCCTTGCCCCACTTCCTTCCTGACCCTTCTTTGAGACCCTGCCCTATCTCTTCTCCGAGGCCTCACCCTGCTCACTCCATCCCCCTTCCTCTCCCATTCTCCCTCACTTTTACCAGGCTGGGGTAGGGGTGCAGGCTCTGGTCTTGGATCAAGGAGTCTGGAGTGTGGGAAAGGCTCCAGGCTTAGCCCAGGGTGGGGGATTGTGCTTCAGGGGGGATTTCAGGGTGCAAGCTCTGGGAAGGAATTGGGTGCAGGAGGACTCACTTCTGAGGCAGGAGGTTGGGTGTAGGAGGAGGTCGAGGTCCAGGGCAGGATTCAGGAAGCAGGCTTTGGCTGGGCACCATTTCACTGAGACAGCTTCCAAGTGGTGGAGCAGTGGGATTAAGGCAGGCTTACTTCTGCCTTGGCCCTGCACCACTCCTGAAAGCAGCTGGTATGTTCAGCAATGGCTCCATGTGCTGCCTCTCATCTACAGGAACTGAGCCCACAGCTTCTACTGGCCACAGTTCCCCGTTTTGATCAGTGAGAGCTGCAGGAGTGGTGTTTGCATGCAAGGACAGCATGTGGAAACCCCCAGTTCTGCTTCTCTCAGGGGCTGCAGGGACATGCCAGCCACTTCCAAGAGCAGCAATTAGGGATAATGGGATGACTCCTGCCATGACAGGTTGGGCATTTTAGAACTCACTACTCAAAGAATTAAATGTAAGTGTAAGAGAGAAGTGAAAATGATGAAATGCACAGACCAGTCAAAAACCAAAAATAACCCACTTTGCAAGCAGTAAAAGTAGTAACATACCCCCCACGTATGTGTTGGGTTGGGAGATGAGAGTGAAGAACAGTGTGTGTTTGTGAGAATGACAGACACAGTGTGAGAGTGACAGAGATTTGCATTGCCAAGCTCCTCCCATCCCCTTCTCTCTATGTGGAGATGGGAGTACAGGAGCGGGGGGAAGAGGGACATTCTGACATCAACACTCCCCTCCTCTCTCTCCCACAGCCTGCGCAGGAAGCTCCCAGGGGGCAGCTTCAAGGCAGAGGGCAGGAGCAGCAGGACAGTGGGTGGAGGGGCAACTGAAGTGCCAGCGCTTGATAGCTTCCTGGCCAAACCAGTCAGGGTCACCTGTCAGAGGCTCCAAGATCTACCAGTAGATCCCAATCTACTAGTAGATCCCAATCTACTGGTTGGTGACCAATGATTTAGCAGAAAAAAATACTTAAGTGGAGATGGTTATTATTGCTGATGCTACTTAAAAAAACAAGACCACACTATATTAGTTTTGCAATTTAAACATCATTTGAACTTGCTTATAGAGCTGAGAGGAGGAAAAAAAAGACTGATAAAAGATACATTATTTAGAGAACATAAGCAAGGAAGGCAAGATTACAATCTCACTCCCTCCATGGGTCATGGTTATAGGTTTAATTTTGGTCTAATCTAACACAATATTTATTACATTTATAATGTGAACAATAGTGCCTTTCACCAAAGATCTCAGAACACTAAAATAACTGCTTATAACTACAGGAATTAGGAAACTTAAGTCAACAACGTATCAGCAAATCTTACTTGTCCAGTGTCAGGATCGATCTTCACTTTCAAACTTGGATCTTCACGCTGAAGGGAGTTCAAGGCATTATTCAAGTCTGTGTATAAATATCAAATATTGCCATATATGAAAATATATTAGTAATTTGTGACTAAAATGTTCACCCATAGGATCAGATTCTATCCTTAGTTGGAATCAGTGGTATTATGAGGTTCTACAAAAAAAGATTTTGACGATAAAATTCAGACACTAGAAATCAACTCTAGTCACAGATAATTAGGGTCCCACCAAATTTAAGGTGCATTTTGGTGATAGGATTTTTTTTTAATTATGAATTTCATGGTTTCAGCTACTTACATCTGAAATTTGTATGGGGTTATAATTTTAGGGATCCTGACCAAACAGAAGTTTTGGGGAGAGTCACAAATTTATTCGGGAGGGGGGGTTGCGGTAGAGCTACTCTTACTTTGGTGCTGCTGCTGACCATGGTGCTGTCTTCAGAGCTGGGAAGCTGGCCAGGATCCAAAACAAACCCACAGCCAACAGCGGCGCAAAAGTAAAGATGTATGATATTGACACACACCCTTAATTCTGTGCTGCTTCCTGCAGAGCTGGGCCCTGAGTCAGCAACTGCCATTATCTGGCTGCCCAGCTATGAAGGCAGCAGTGCAGAAGTAAGGGTGGTATGCTAGGTTACTGCCACCCTTACTTCTATATTGCTGCTGGCTGGGCATCCACCCAGAGCCCAGCTAACAGCCACTGCTCCCTGGCCACTGCACTGCCTTCAGAACTAGAAGGGTGACAATACCACAATCTCTCTAATAACCTTTCAACAACCCTGCAATTCCCTTTTGGATCAGGGCCTCCAATGTCAGAAATGCTGGTCTCCCCTGTGAAGTCTGTATAGTACAGGGTAAAAGCACACAAGATCAGAATTCATCTGGGGGAGGGAAGGGGAGTGTGGACCAGATTTTATGGCCCATGACACGCTTTTCATGGCCATAAATATGGTAGAGTGCTAGAGATAACTCTCAATATCAGATTATTTCCAGTTATCTGTGGCATCTGATTCTAGATAAAGTCTCTGGTAACTGAAGAAGTTGTTTTCTTTACTCCATGCACAAAGTATAACCATACCAAGGCAGCCTTTACAAGAAAAGTATAGAACCACAGTTTGCCTCATTTCCAAGTAATGGGTTCTTGAGCTAGACAAAGTGTAATAAAAGTAACTGATGTACTAGTTTCAAAATGCCTTTTGTCCAAGTAATATTTGGCACTCTCTCAGCTCATCTGAAAGCACTTTATCAAAATAGGAAAATATCCAGTTTCCCCATCATAAATTGAAGCATGATTTGCCTCTGGTTTCAATGAAAGTCAGCTGTGGAGTTCAAAACAAACTAAGTCCCCAACCTTTGCTCTAACTACTAGAAAACTGCAGCTCCAAAAACCTACTATATATTTGAGTCTATGTCCCCGTCCATCTGTCTATTCAAGAACTCCTCCGAAAGGCAAGAGCTACGACCACTAAATTTGGTATGCAGCTGCCTCTTATCCTAACTTAAAGCAAGGTCAGGGTTTGGTTGTGCCAAGACAATGGGATGTGCCTGGAATGGAATTGCTTCTCAGAAAATCATACAGAAAAGAGACTGAATCACTAAGGTAGGTGAAAGGGACTAGCTGGAGGTACACTCCCCAATCCAAGACTGCCCAGCAGGGGAGGAGGGGCAGGAGGAAAGAGAAAGCTGAACCTCCCCCCCAGCAATCAAATTTGTATGGGAACATTGCTGGCTGTTCCCCTTCATCAGGGAGCAAGGGAAAAGTGCACTGTTTGTTGCATTCCTCACTCTAGCAGGGGAGCACAGGGAGCAGATGAACCTGGATCTGCCCCAGCTGGGGGACATGCATCCCTCCCTGACTGTGCCCACTGAAGCTGCAGGGGCCATGGACAAGTGCTTCTCAATTGGCCCCAAGTTGTTTCAGTGAGAGAGGGCTGGGGCTCTCTCCCCAGAGCAACCCAGTGCTTTTTTTTGATGGTACTGCCCAGTACGCAGTACCGGCACCTCCAGCCAGAGCTCAACAACTTTTCCCCTGGAGTACCAGCACCTTTTTTACAAAAAAAGCACTAGGACAACCTATAGACCCAACACCCCTCACCTCCAGTCCCACCCCACAGCAATGATTTAAATTAGCAATATTAAATTTAGTTTAATCAACTAATCCACTAGTCAATGGATTTTCCATCAACTAGTCGATAAGCTGGGAGCTGCAGGGGGAAGGGGCCCTGTGTGAGCCGGGAATCAGCTGTCCCGGCTCGCACTGGTCCCTCCTGCTGTGCTTTAACCTTTTAAAATTTATTAAGAGCCAATAATACATTTAAAAGGCAGAGGCGTGTCTGGGACTAGACATGAGCCATGAATTAGATGATTCCTGGCTCATGCCCATTTCCCGCTACTCCACTGTCTCCCCTGGAGACAGTGCTGGGAGGAATCGGCTTTTAAGCCAGCCCCCCGCCAGCACTGGCTCCTGCTCCCCCCACTTGCTGGCTCCAATAGAGGCAGCAAGGGGTGGGGGGGAAGCAACTAGTCGAGGGACTAGTTGACTATCCAATAAGCTTTTACTTATCAAATAGTCAACTAGTTGCTTACATCCCTAATTTAAATTAAGAAAAACAAAAATGTATTGAGTTAAGGACCCAAACAACGTTGGATAAATCTTCAAATAAAGTAACAAACCAATAGTTTGGGCTTGTTTATGCACTTTACAATCTTTGGAAAAATCCTGCAATCAAATGGTCAATATCCAGACAATCCACTCAATCATTCTGCACCCCTTCCCTCCAACTCCCGAAGAATTCAGGAGACCAGACAGAAATACTTCAAGTTCCGATAGCAAACAAATCTAGGCTCTGTTGGACTAAGGAGACAGAAAAGAGGGTCTGTCAGCAAGAGGCCAAAGCTAACTGTGTAAGTAGCAATGGACAACGGAATACAAAAATGCAGCTTTCTCCTCCTCCTAAATGAGGTAAGAATAAATCATCTAATCCAGAATGTCTTGAAGTGTGGTCTGTGGGCTCCTGGGGGTCATTGAAGGCACTCCAGGAGAATCTGAGAGTTTCCCTGAGACATGAAAGAGGAACTGGGAAGGACAGGAAAAAGTGGGAACCTTGGCTCTGAAATGTTCCCAGAAGTGAAAAGCAATGTCATTGCAGCTCCTGGCTGGGGAGAGGGAGAAAGAGGTTTCTGAGTCTCCCCCACTCCTCCTAGCGCACCCCCAGCCTCATCGCAGGCTGATGAAAGTGAAGTATGGTGAGGGAAAGCGAGGGAGGGCGGGGCCTCAGAAAACAGGTGGGGGGATGTAACCTCAGGGAAGGGGACAGGACAGAGTGGGAGAACTTGGAGGTCCTCAGGTTGCTAAAGTTTAAGAACTGCTCCTCTAATATTTAGAGGTGGCAAAAAAATTGCAAAAAGAACAGTAGCAAAGCGCACTCAACTTATAGAATTTAGCACTCACAAAAGACCATCAAGGGCCTTAATGTATTACTGAGACATGCATACAGTTGATGAAATTGAATTGCATGCACGTTCATAGATCAAGGGTCTAGTATAGCATAGCTCTGAAAATGCTTTAGTAGCGGTGTTGTACCTGGCTGTTTGGCCATCGAAGGTGGTTCTATTGTACAAAAGAAAACTGGCTCAGGGATCTCTACACCAGCCAATACAAGGTTGTCTACTTCACTTTCACTGTCAGGTTTTCTCCCAACTTCTCTTCCAGCTCGACGGGCTGCAGCCACAGCAGAAGCCTTTGATGACACTATGGTATCTCCAGTGGCACTCTAAAGTACACCAACAACTGATACATCAGGTTGTCTGCAAATAATTGTTTTGTACGCTCTTTATAATAAAAACTAAGTCGTTATTATAGGTTCGCTTTGCATAATTACATATAAACCAAAATCAGAAGATCATCAGAAACTCTAATTACATGGCTGTTGATTCAGCATTAGCTAAGTTTTTAATATTTTAAAAATACAATCACTTTGGCATGGAAATAGACATATACAGAAAACTGAGGAAACAGAACTACATTTATTAAAAATTAATAATTAAAATTAAGTTAATTTAAATATTTTATAACAGTCAAATCTAAAAATATTTGAAACAAAAAGAAAACATGATATTGTATTTCATACTTGGGGTAACTAACTTTTCAAATAAACTCTCTTGAAAAATCAAACATCTTCCTTTACCTGTTTTAGCCCAACAGTAAGGGCAATATTGCCAGCCATTAGAGAAGGTATTTCTATTTGCTGGTCAGCAAAAGGCAGCAGAAGGCGACTCATTCTTTCTCTGCAAATGAATGATTCATGTTATCTACTACTCAAATGCAAATACCCATGCATCAATTAACATCTTTTCTTGCTCCTACTCACGTGCAATTTTTGTTGATGTTATATACAGCTGACTGTGGTTTCACTGTGCCTGAGTAAATGCGTATAAAAACTAATGGCCCACGTTGTTTATCATGAAGAACTTTAAATGCCAGGGCGCACAAATCATCTTTGTACCATGGCCTGTAAAACAAACAACAAATCAGAAGAGCAATGTCATACAACTCACTAATAAAAAATGAAACCAAAAAAACCCAACACATGACATCTTAACTCCAGTGTTAGCTGTATTTCCACTAATTTAAGATATCATGTGTTTGGTATTTGTAGCTATTAACTCAGAGGCAGGAATTTTTATTTACCATGTAAATTTATTCAATTAAAAATAGTTGTGCTAAAATATGTAAATCAGTGGATATCAGAGATGTTAACTATTGGGCTTTGCAGGTTTATGGTGGTCAGATCTTTATTTCACCTCAAAAAAGTAACAGAAGAGGGCTCATGCAAGGCCTTTGTGCTCTGCAGGAAGTTGTCTTGAGGCTTGTCTCTACTACAATGATAGATCCACTGGCCGTCATTTTATGGTGTCTGTTTAGACGTGATCAACTGATCTCCAAGCTCTCTCCAGTCAATGTCAGTATTCAACCAGAAAAGTAGCCAGCCCCCACCAACCTTACCACACGCAAGACGCTGCAATGTGTTGACTTCAGCTACACTATTTGCATAACTGAAGTATATCTACAGTGGGGGTTAGTATAGACAAGGCCTTGGAGTACCTCGGGTTATTCTATAATAGTGCCTAGCCAATGATTGCTCCTATTAACAAGAATGCACCAGTTCAAAAGCATCAAGCCCGCAAAACCATGAAATAATAATTCACATGTATGGTTTCCAAATGCACTAAGCCTTGAAAAAGCAACAGTTCACTCTGACAAACATAGTAAAAAGCCCCCCCCTTTTTGAAAATGGGTAACAGCAATTAGACAACTACAAAGGTAAGAGACAGTATTTTCGCCTTCATTGCTAACACACTGAGTAACCTTGGCAATACACCTAGTCTCTTGGTGTCTCAGTTCCCACACCTAAAAAAAATGGACAATATTTACCCTCCTTGGAAAACATCTGGATCCACAGATGAAAGGCGGTGTACAACTGTAAAAACACCTGGTTTTGCAGTCAAAAATACACACAGATATTTTGGATAGTACTAGCCAAGTAGCTTCAGTACATGGGTATAGACTACAAATCTTATTCTCTGCATAAAATAGCATTCCTACTGGATAAAAACCTACAGTAAATACTTGTGATTTTGAAAATCACAAACAATTCTACATTTTCTCTTTGCAATTTTACCAATTCATCTTCCCAAACAGTTAAATTACTTAGTCTTTTCATTATACTTACAGAAAATCATAGGAACGCTCGTTAGGTGCTGGTAAATACATAGTAATAGCATCCAGTAAAGGCTGGACTCCTTTATTCTTCAATGCACTTCCACAGAACACGGGTACTGCTTTCTGAGCCAGCGTTACTCTACGTACTGCAGACTGTAACTGCAAAAGGAGAGAAGTGTATGTTCAAGTCACGTATTTAGCCTTTAAAAATTAATACTAAGGAAGCAGTGAGAAAAACTAAAGCACAAGTCCAGAAGTCATCCATATATAGGCTTTCCACTGATTTGAATTAAGAGCTTTTCCTCACAGAACCATGCCTATAATTTATAACTGTAGATTATAAATCAGGTAGTTTCTTGGTGGACAAAAATCATCCCCACTTATTGAGTCTCAGGGTCTGGACTCAGAAACTTGATGCCATGAGTCTTTTTTAATATAGATATACCACTAGACGCTTTTGAAAAATTATACAGTCTGCACATAATACAGCTTATTCAATTTACAGCACTTAAAGCATCATCTAAATTGGCTTAATGTTTTGGTACTAGAACAAAAAGGAAACTACCTGGGGAAGCAAATCTTATGAGGACACTTCTTATAACCTAGAGCTGGTTACAGTAGCTTATGTCTGAAGCTTAAATCTTTTTTTTTTTTTTTTTAGCACTGGTCAATATAGAATGCATACTCCCTGCATCACACACACTATATATTTTTTTCTGTTGTTCATAATCAAAATGACAGCCGGTAAAAATATATAGTAACTGGACAGTAAAAAACTACCTTATCAGGTGGAAGTAAGTCAAAATTTTCACTAAAATCTCCTAGAACCAGCTCCGCAAATTCATCATCTAGATCTGCAACCTGCAAGAGAGAATATTTCTACATTATCTGCGACTATAATATTGTACTATTGTCTCATTGCCACTAGCTATTTGGACCAGAAAACTAATGCAGAATGATGTTTTTGCAAACATTAGAGATTAGGAATTCCAAGTCTAGCAAATGTAATTTAAATGTATTATAACAAGATGCAGAATTGATGAAATTACTCAGAGGTAGCCGTTTTAGTCTATAACTTTAAAAACAATGAGTAGCCCTGTGGCACCTGAGAGACTAACACAAATATGTATATATATATATATACACACACACATATCATGAGCAAAATCCACTTCTTCAGATGAGCTTGAGTGAAGAGATTAAATGAGTTACTGAGAAGCTGAACTTGAATAAAAACGATTTTAATCTTAGAAAATTTAGGTTTTAAATACATTGTTAAAACTAGGGATGTTAAATTGTGATTAATCAGCTAATCAAATAGTCAAGAGAATTTCCATCGACAACCCAATTAGTTGATGGGGGAGGGGAATGCGCTCGCTACCCCCGCTGGGGCTCTGAAGTTTAAATGTAGTAGGAGCCAGGCGCAGAGCCTACGCTTATCTGGTAGTTGATTATTCTACTACTCTTTTACATCCCTAGTTAAAACAAATGTTTCCTTCTTAGGTTACAGAATCTGTTATAAATTAACAAGGTTGTTAGAAATTGGTTATTTCAATAATCGTGTAACTGCTAAATTTCTTAGTAGTTACGTGTTTACTCAATGCTTCTCCACCCCAGGGGCAGGGCTGACAGCCAGCGTGCTCCTGGTGCTACTCCCAGGGAGCCCCCTGCTGCCCCACACTACTGCCTCTGATACAAAGGCAGCAGCATGGGGCGGCAGGAGGCTTCCGTGTGTTCTTCATTTAAAACTCCGACTGGAGGAATGGGACTGATCCAGCCACCCGATCCAAGTTTTAAATGCAGAGTATGTGAGGGAAGGTAGTTGTTGCGGTTAACTGGGACCATTAACCAATAAGTGATGGCTTACTGGTTAGCCATCCCTAATTTATAACAAAATTAGCTGATTAGCTGTTGTGATCTCTAGTTTATAACAAAAGATACTTTCATATGCTACCAAATTAAATGAGTAGGCCAAAGCAATGCACTTCATTATGAAGAAAGAAAATGTTGAAATAATAAAACACATTAAATGCTAAAATGACCAGCTTGCCAATATGCACTCCCTACCAAGTCCCAACCATTAGGTATAATAAACTTTTTCAGTTCCTTTTAGCTACTTTAGGCATCTACCTGTGATTTCAGGGGATTGTCTGGGGAATGAATCCACAGTGGAGAAAAAGAGACTCAATGGGGGAAAAAAGTGTCTTAAAAGAAAGAAAGGGGAAACTACAGGCTCGTCTAAAGTTGCTGGACAACATCTCAGATGCATAGACAATACAAGTCCATCACCTCTCAGACTAAAAAATTCCAGTCAACAGTGACAGCTCTGAAGGGCTCAATTAGAATAAATGTTTCACACTTGTAAAGGATTATGTTCCCTCTAGCTAACAGTGACACTGATCAGCTAAAACAGAAAACATGAAAAGTAATATATTTTATATGTTTTAGCTGAATATATAAAATGAAAGGAAAAGGCTACATGTTTTTTACCAGATCTGTGTTCCAATTATTAAATTATAGATTAGTACTGAGTGGACAGCTCTCACTCATGGAAAATGAAGGATAGCAAAACATTTTAGAAATACAAAGTTATCCAATCATCAAACAACATCACTGGTCTATCAAGTCTTATATACAGCTTTTGAGAAGAACCAGTAAATAAACAAAACACTCTGCCCTTATGTAGCACCTTTTATAGAGCATAGCAATGAAAGTCCTTTGAAAGTAGTGAAGCACTACTATCCATTTTACAAGTGGAAAATCTGAGAAACTGGGTGGTTAAATAACCTTTTTGGTGTGACTTTGTAAGGAAAGTAAAACAAATCTCCCATACCTCAGTTTGAGCATTTTCAAATTTCTCTAAGTGAAGTGATCAGTGTCACTCTACCTATCCCGTTGTGTGATACTACAAATGCATGGCTGAAGGCCTTTTTCCTACAAGTCAGATTATACCACAATTTTAACTTGCATAAGTACAAATATTTGAAATTATAAAATTATCCATTAGTTTGCTTATTCTGCACTTAACAATAAATGCTCTTGTAAATATCATAAGAGCTAACAGCAATGCAAACCCCCACATTTTGAAAGAATAAACCTCAATGGAATACAGCAAAATCATTTAGATACAGCTATTCCTGTATTACAATTCATTAGTTTATTTGGAACAGTGTGGGACATCAAAATCATAGCTCAGGAAACATTCTTTGAACACATTATTCACAGAGTTTTTGTCCTGTTTAAAATGTCAGAGTCATAGAATATAAAGCTAGAAGAAAACACTGATATTTATTCTCTGGGCCCAAAAAGTATCAACTTAAACTGAGCCAACCATATCACCTGTGTTTTTATGTAGATATAAATTAATCTTTTATCTAGTCTTCATAGCACAGTAGTGCAGAAAAGATTCTAAAAATTACTATCTGCGTAAGTGAAGGACTAACCCAAAGAACTAGGAATTAGGGCATATAGGTTCTTCTAATCTCAGCTCTGTCCTGGTCTTCCTGCATGAGCTTAGCGAAGCTCTTTCTTCACTTCAGTTTTGTCATTCCTATGTGATCGTAAAATAGGGATTGTTCCTCTTTTTGTCACATAGGAGACTAAAGTGATCACTTCTGCTTACACTCAAGTTAGTGACAGTTTTGTCACCATCTTCGGTTTCAGTAGGTTTGAGGGTGTTATTTATTAATGTTCGCGAAATGCCTTGAAATCTCGTGATGCAAGGAAAGCAGCGTAGATATTCAGAGTAATTTAAAAGTAAATATATTTTAAGTACTTTACATATTTACTTTAGAAACTTTACTTGTTCTATTAAGGCATTTCTTGTATCTTTGACTTCCTTGAACAATTCTGGGTGAGTGGTTTCCATCAAGGGTTTTTGCTCAAAAACCTTTCCATCATCCAGATTAGAAGTGGGGTGCCAAATAATTTGTTCCATGGTCACTACATCAACTAGTCCCTTAAAGGCTTTGGCCTCACCAATTGGCAACTGCAAAGAGAAAGGAAAATTACACAATTAAGAAACACTAGTATGAAGATAAAACTTGCCATACAGATTTAACAATAAAATTATTAACACTGAAAATAATGAGCACTAAATTGTTATTTATAAGCTACCTCCATGGTGTGCATGTATTTATAATTGTTTTATATAAAACACAGCAAATAAAACAATACAATAAAGTTTAAAATAATTAACATTACATTTCTTAGTTTACCTGTAAAAGCAAAGGTTTTGTCTTCAACTTTTGCTTGATGCTGTCAACAGCATAGGTAAAACTATATTAAAAAACAATACCAGATGTTAAAAAGAAGAATGACCCAATTCTAATGATATACATCAGTTTAATCTTATTTACTGCAAAATAAGTTCTTCAGTTTAAAAATATATATATATATTGAAAAAGGTTTAGCATTATAATTTTGTGCTTACCACCCTCACTGTATTTGCAACTCTACTTCATAAAATGTGCCACTTCATTATAATTAGAAATAGCCTCCCAAGCCAGCCACCTGTCATGTGCTTCATATTTCTAAATAAATATAAATAAAGTGGTCTCTGTACCTTGCCCCATTTTTGTCCATCTTATTTAAATAACAAATCCGTGGTATATGATGCTTGTCTGCTTGTCTCCACACCGTGAGAGTCTGTGCCTAAAGCAAAATGAAACCATCAAAAGGCTTGTCCTGGTGGCTGAATGGCAATACACTGATATTCAAAACCCAGATTCATTTTCTCATCTCAAACTCTTGCTCCAGTGCTTGGAAAGACAGCGAGTTCAGCATATGTAGGTTCTGAATTGAACTGCTCAGCCACTGCTCCCTCACATGTTAAACTACAGCATTGATGGGCTCCAAAATGAGCCTGGTCCCATCTAGACTTCTCAAAGATGGAAGACTGTGCTCCAAATTGAGGCCTAAGGGTTGACAGAGACAAAATGAGGAAGAAAATCTAAGTGTTGTGAGGGACTCCTTAAAGCCATAGTTGTCAAACTTTTTGGGCCATGGACTACCTGGGCTCAATGCAAACCTATCCACGGATCACCTGTTGTTAATTGAAACTCACCGTTAATTACATAATTACGCCCAAGCTATTTTGCTAGTGCTACAGTGAGGGAGACTGGTTTAATTTAAATTATTAAACAGATTCAGTGTTTCAATTTCTCAGGTTAGTTTATCAAATTTCATTCTAAATAAAGTAAAATATGAATTTATGTCCAAACAAAAGGTTTCAATGTTTTCTTTATGAATGATAGGGGTGGGGGACCTTTATGTGGGGCCACTGACTCACAGAAAAGTCCACTGGGGACCATACAAGTGAGAAACAAACAAAAAACAACCCTCCAAAAAGCCCCAACCCTCACTGATGTTGCCCCCAACTGAAACACCTCACTACTCTGGCACTCCAGCCTCAGGCAAGGGGAAAAGAAGAGACAGGGAAGACTAGGTTCAGGGCTTCCCATAGGCCAGATTTACTTTTCTGGGGTTTCAGAGTTAATGGATTTTGTGGACCCTCTTAGGCTCTGGGGTGGGGACAAAAATGAGAGGTTCAGTGTGTGGGACAGGGCTGCCAGCAAGTGGGATAGGGATGGGGTACAGGATCTGGGCAAGAGGTGGGATGCAGGAGGGGGTGAGGGTTCAAGGTCTGGGTGGGAGGGAGGGTGCAGAAGCAGGCTGGGAATTGGGTGTCTGGACAGTGGGGAGGTGCAGGGCAAGGGAAGGTGCAAGACAAGGGTAGGAGCAAGCTCGGGTGTGGGGTCTTGGTGGAAGGAGAGGGGATGAGTGGGGGGTATTGGGTGCATAGTTCTGCGCATGGAGGGGTGGTCCCCGTTGCTCCCAAACACTGCCTTCCCCCAGTGCTCCCATTGGCAGGTTAATGGGAGCAGCAAGAAAAGCCTCTGGACAGCACATCACCGTGCTGCAGTTCTCCTCAGCAGGGTAGGAGGGGGGGGGGAGCTCAGCCCCCCCTCCTCTTCAATGCAGCGGGGTGCCCACGCTGCCACTCGAGTGACACAAGCTCTGGCAGATCACCTAGCACCATGCTGATCCAGGGGCTGGGTGTGTCAGTGGCAGCGCATCGGGGCCTATGGCAGCAGTTACAGTCGCTGAGCTCCGTGCAGCAGGTGTGGCCATAGTGCAGGGTCACCAGCTTGCACTACAGCTGCTGACACAGAAGGCAGCTGAGCAGCACCAGTGGGTAGCAGCAGGCAGGGTTGCCCAACACCTCACCCACCCCTTCAGGGCAGCTGGCAAGGCAGGATGCCAGGCTTTCAGCCAGCTCCCGCAGCTCCTCAGGGAACAAGCAGGCCAACTGGACGGTGTACAACACTTCCCCTCCCCGGCGCAGGCAGAGGCCCAGCTCAGGTTGTGGCAGCTCAGCTAGCTGTGAGTTATAGATCTCAGCTGCCAGTTTGAAGTTGCTGCCGTGGAAGGCCTCCTTGGTCACCTGCAGCATCTCGGCACAGGGTCCCACGTTCAGCTCCATGCTGCTGCCTGCTCCACTCACCAGGCTGCCCTGGCCCTACACCTTGCCACACCACACTCCCCACCATGCGTCTTCTGAGTGGGAAGCCGGTGCTGGTGCTATAGCCTAGCAGCCTGCACAGCCGCGAGAATGCAAAAACAGCTTCAGATTGGAGGATTGAGCTGGGGGAGGTGAAGGAAGCCCTGACCTTCCCTGCCAGACCCAGATCGCAGAGAGAGGCAGATCAAGCTCCGCAAGACAGGTCTGGTCGGGAAGGTTGGGGCTTCTTTCACCTCCTCTATCTCCCCTCCCTTCAAGCCAAAAGCTGGAGCTGTTGTTGCAGCTGCGTAGCAACCATGAGTCTCAAGCGGGAGAACGGGCTCCTCACTGCAAGGAGGTGGGCTGAGTTCACCGCACTTGGAGAACCACTGCCTTAAAGAATAAAAACCTAGTAAGTATATACACTATACATATTGCTAACACAGTGGTGAAGTGCACATAAAGTATAGCTACAGATGGGCCACTGATTTTTATTGCAATTGGGCAAGCACAACTACAGCAATCAATGCAACTTGCACATTGCTGGGCATTTCTAATATTTTTTATTAAAGCAAATTAAATCTGGTATATTAGAAATAATTGAAATATAGAAGTCTAGTCTCTTAACACACATGGGAAGTTAATACCTGTATTCCATGTAATAGGAGAACTCTTAGCTTAAAAAAAAAAAAAAAAAAAAAAAAAAAGCTTCTCCATCATAGCAGTACATAGGCTTGGTCTAAGCTACTGAGAAAGGTCAAAATAAGATAAGCAATTCCTGCTACATTAATTACGTAGCTGGAGTCAATGTATCTTAAATTACATTTCTTCACCATCCTCTCAGCAGGTCACAACAGGAGCAAATGCTCCCGTAGGCCTCCCCTACTCCTCACAAAATGAGGAGTACCAAACACCATACGGAGCTGCCTTCAGCATTTGATTTATGGGTCCAGACTTGATCGGCTAAAATGAATACCAGAAGATTGATCTCTGGGGCATCAATCTTCTGCACAGTGTAGACGTGGCCATGTAGTGCCACAAGGAAAAATCAAATTCAGGCCTGTCCACCAGGCTTCTGGACTCTGATCTAATGGTCACACTAGACACTCCAAGAGTGACTTGGAGAAACAGCATTTTGGCAGAGAATTAAAATAATTCTCTACAATTACATTTTATGTAAGAATATTAACACCTATTTATTTCTTCCCACAGATGAAGCTAGTCAAAACATCTTAACGAGCTCTGTATTTCTTACAAAGTACCAACATGGAACACATTTATTTTTGCTGCCATCAGGAGCAAGAAAGTTCTCAATACCACAGAAAAGTCATAATTTCCACATGGAATCACATCTCAATTTAAGTGACTGGCTTTCTGAAACCAAATTTTGATTGACTGCATCCATCAGAGCATAAACACAAGAACACAGAACAGGGTGTTAGAGGAAGCTACCTCAGCCGATTTAAAAACATTACATGTGGCACAATCTTCAGAGTAATTTTACCTCCACACCAGCTGAAGCATCAAACACAGCTACTGCACCATCCAGCACTCTCAGGGAACGTTCAACTTCCACTGTAAAATCCACATGACCTAAATGATTTACAAAATGCTGTAACATTATTCAAACAGGTAAAAGCAGTATATTACATATAACATTTTTCACTCTGTCAGAATGGTAACAATTCTTTAAGTTTATAAAAATGCTCATATCAAGTGTTATCGGCTCACATGCATACATTACACTACAGAATCATAGAAAAATACGTCTGGAAAGAACCGTTAGAAGTCACTGAACAAAGTACACCTAAGACTTCTCCATAAAGGTATTTTTCTAAACTGTTCTTAAAAACCTCTAATGATGGGGATTCCTAAACCTCCTCTGGTAATCTATTTTAGTATTTACCTATCATTATAGTCAGGGCTCGACAATCTAGGTAATCTACTTGCCATGGGTGAGTAGATTATAGCCTGGCACGGAGCCGCAGCATGATCAGCACACACGCAGTGCGGTCTGCACATGAACAGCGTGCTGAACTGCACGGCTGACGAGTGGGGTTCGCCGCAGCTTGGCGAGCCCTGATTATAGTTAATTTTTCACTTATATCTAACTTAAATATCACTTGTTGCAGATTAAGCATATAGCTTATTTTTGCCTACCTTCATGGAAAACAATTGATCATCATCTTTTGTTTATAACAGCCCTATACTTATCTGAAGAATGTTATCAGGTCCCTCCCTCAGTCTTCTTTTCTCCATTGTAATCACACCCAGAATTAATTACCTTTCCTTGTAAACCAGGTTTTCTGAACCTCTTATCATTTTTGTGTCTGTCTCCTTGCCGCTCTCCAATTTATCCACATCTTTCTTTGAAGTGTGGCAATCAAAACTAGGCACAATATTCTAGCTAATGCCTGACCAACAATAAGTAGAGCAAGACAATTACCTCCAGTCTTGCATGGCCTTCCTGTTAATTCACCCCAGAATATTACAACTTTTTTTTTTGCAAGTGTGTCACACCATTGGCTTATATTCAATTTGTGATCCACCCAGGTCCTATTCAGCAGTACTACTGCCTTGCAAATTATTTCCCATTTTGTGTTGTACATTTGAGCTTTTCCCTTTGTACATATAGTACTTTGTACTTGTCTTACATCTTGCTGATTTCAGATGAATTCTTCAGTTTGTCAAAGTTGTTTTGAACTCTAATCCTGTCCTCTACTGTGCTTGCAATCCTCTCAGCTTGGTAACATCCACAAATTTTATAAGAACACTCCCAATTCCATTATCCAAGTCATTAATGAAAATACTGAACAGCAGCAGACGTAGGTGTAACCATGTAGAACTTACTAGACACCATGACATTCCATATTCTTTATGAAAATATGCTTGATCTAAATGCAATGTATAATGTATTGAGATAACTCAAGTAAGGTATCGTTAGAAAGGTCTGATTTACTGAATATGATTATCCTGTTTGCATGCATGCATCATTTTTGTGTCCAAAGTTAGGAATATCAGTTATGTACTATTTATATTTCAACTACGTAACTTTGGGTGACACCTTCTGCTAACACTTCCAGAAGAACAATAGAAAAACCAGACAGCTGATGGCCCATCAGTAACAATGGACTGTGAAAAAGGGTTGGCCTTCCTGTGAACGCTCCACACTGCCACAGACTCTTGGCATTATGATGCTACAGAGTCAGGTAACCCGGGGTGTGTCTTTAGAGCAGGGCTTAACGCGAAATAAGCTAAGCAAATTGAGCTGTGTCAACTGCATATCTTATTTCGAAACAGCTTATTTTGAAATTGGGAGCGTCTACACAGCACTTATTTCAAAATAGAGCACTCTTCCTCTGACTTCCCTTACTCCTCGCACAATGAGGGTTATAAGATTTGGAGTAAGAAGTCCTCCAGCTTGACAGTATTTCAACATCATTTAGAAATAACTGTTTGCTGTGTAGTCGTGGACTAAGTTATTTTGAAATAATGTTGTTGTGTAGACATACCGCTGGTCACCTGATGCTAACCTCCATCTTGGACTGAACCATTCTACTGGGAGGTGGGGGAATCAAACAAAGGTTTCCTGCCTTATGGAAATCTTATATAAAGGGAGAGTGGAAAACAACCAAGGTCTTCAGTTTGCTTCTCCTCCATCTCCCCACCCAAAAAGATACTTGAAAACAAGAGGACTAAAACTGGGGGCAGGGAGAGGTGGAGGAAGGAGAAAAGAACTGTTGGACCCAAATTAAAAAAATGCCCCTGGACTGTGAAGAACTTTAAAACAATATCTAGAGGGAGGAATATGTATTTGTAATCAATTTCTTAAGTGAATCTAGCTTAGCTAGCATGCCTTGTATTATTTTCTTAGTAATCTGCTTTGTTTTGTTTGACACCTCTTTTACCACTTAAGATACACCTTTTATAGTTAGTTAAGGTATTTCTGATTTATAATAGAACCCAGTTTATGCCGTTTCTAACAGGGGGCAGGAAGTTGTGCATAACTTCCTCCACATGGAGGGAAGAGTCAAATTTCATATAATTTTGGGTTTGCACTTGAAGAGAGAGATACACATCCATGTGCTGTGGCAAGTCCCTTAAGTTGAACCTTCACAGACCTGATCTCAGCATCTGTATGATTCTGCTGTTGGGCATTGCCCTACCTGTGTGCTTGGCTAGAATGATCTTTTGAGCCTGGCCCAGCAAGCCCAAGTAAAGAAGACCCAGGCTAGCAGAAGAGGCTGACTTAGTGGCATCTCAGGTGACCTCCCAAGAGGTCCAACCTGTCTCAGATACATCCTGATAGTCTGACAGCAAACCGCTGATAACTACTTTGAGTATGATCTTTTAATCAGTTATTCTCCCTGCATTATAATAATTTCATCTAGATCACATTTTCCTAGTTTGCTTATGAAACTGTCATATGGGGCCATGCCAAAAGCTAACTACAAATCTAGATACATCACAAGTACTGTTTCCTCCACATCCACTAGGCCAGAAACCCTATTAAATAAGGAATTCAAGTTGGTTTTGCAAGATTTGTTATTGATAAATGCACACTGGCTATTAGCCCATTATCCTCATAGTGCTTAAAAATTGCTCTATACTTTTCCAAGTATCACAGTTCATCTGACTAGTCTAATTCCCCAGGTCATCTTTGTCCCCCGTTTTAAACATAATTCCTTAAGTATCCTAGAATGAATTTCATCAGCCTTTGCAGATTGGAATAGACCTAATTTATCTAAATATTCTTTAACCTGTTCTTCATAAAACCACAGCAACAGTTAGGCCCAGCATCCATCTGAACCCTCTGAAATTGCAGATTCAGTTTCTAAACTACCTAAGCCCATCTACTCCGCCCGACCACCAGCAGGAGAAAGCCTGATAGAACATATTCAAAATACTGTACCTGGTGTGTCAATCAGGTTGATTCTATAGCCCTTCCAATCAAAAGTAACAGCAGCAGACTGAATGGTAATACCACGTTCTCGCTCTTGCGCCATAAAATCCGTCACTGTGTCCCCATCATCAACATCTATCAGTATGAACATATGCACAGTTTGGTCACATAATTCAAAATGTAAAGTTATCTGCCTTGGACCAAAGTAAATATGATTATTTATCCTAGACCTTGTCTACTCTATATATTTTCAAAACATGAAAATTGCTTTTGATTCAGGGAATAGAATGATAAAGCTATTGGTAACCAGCTGATTTCTGAAGAGAAGTTAATCTGGGGAAAAAAATTATCTAATTAAATTCTCCTCCGCACTCATGGCTGAATCCTCAGGTGTGGTAGAAGACTATTGAATACAGCCGAGGAGTGGTAACGGAGAAAGGGGAAGCAAAGGTACATTTATGCCACCTTTTTGTTCAGTTTCCTCACTGCTGTGGATTGATATGGGCTGGTTTGTGCTTTCCCAAGTCCTGAGTAACTTTAAAACAGAGTCTCAGAGCCACTTTAAATTGTTCAATCAGATAATCCCTAATCCAGCAGCAAGAGCTCACCAGAGCACAGAAGCACTCCTGTGCACTTTTTATACCACTCTGTCCCTGTTATGTGGCATTCTGGAGCAAGCCTGAGGATCTCACTAGCATTTTCATCTGAATGTGTCTAGAACATTCTGTGAACAATACAATGCATAAATGAGGGGCATCCTGGAATTTGAAGCTAATCCAATTAAAAGCCATTTAAGAATTAAAAACTGAAGCTGTCAAGTTTCTTACTATCCTAGGATTTGTTACGTTCACTGCAAATATTGACACTGAAGTGTCCCAGAATTCCATGGACTAAACAAAAAAAAAAACCCGCCCATGTTATACATTATTCTATATAGTGGAATATGTATTGTACTTTTATTGTGTTTCAGCATAGTACAAAATATATAATTTCAGTATAACTTATTCTACAGGACAACCTCTAATTTTACATTAATATCTGCTAAGCTTCTCAAAGTAACTGAAATAAATGCAGAAATTCTAACCTCCCAGTGCTCTTGTGTATCCAGAATAATATAACATTCTCTCAGTGGTTGTCGTTTTCCCAGCATCTATGTGAGCCATGATGCCAATGTTACGAATTCTGCATAAAGTAAGCAAAAGTATTTCATGTAGTTTTTTTATTCAGCAATATTGTGGTTCTGATCAAATATATTACTTCATAATCAACAGTCAAAGGTAGCTCCTTCCCCATCCCTATTCACCTCACCAATGATGTAGTTTGTGCATAACTGTAGTATGTATAACTTTTCAATGTTAAAAACAGCAGAAATATAGTCTTGGGGTTTCTTTCACATCACCACTAATCAACTATTTTCAAAACAGATGGGGACAGTACTAAGAAGATTAAAAACCAGGGAATACATGTTTGTACTATAGTTTATATTCAGATATCAAGCACTGGAATCAGAGAACAAACAGCTAGACAGCATGTCACTAGGTTCTCACTGGCAAACATTACCAAGATCAGAACAGACTGAAGTCAAACCAGCATATATAACAACCTTTTCTCTGAGGGTCCAATCAAGGGCCCACTGAAGTCAACATAAAGACTCCCAATCCACCAACCTGAACCCCTTCCCCCCAAACACACAATTGGTTCCTGCCACCTTGGATTTATTGATGGGGATATACCCTCGACTCCCCATTAAAAAAAAAGAGAATTGTCATCATGCACAATTTAGAGCCTGAGTGGATTGAAGTAGAGGTCACTATAATATTCTATGGTTCTTCTGCAACACACATCACCATTGTATCTATTGCTTACATACAGAATATTAACAGGCACTACTTACTTAGATATAGGAGGGGTAATGATAGAACGCAAAGATTTGACATCTCCTACTGCAGGAAAAAAAGCACTAGTCAAAACTTCAATTCCCACCGCATGAACGAAACCTGAAATCTCACCACTGCCAATTAATATATGACAATTAAATGCTTTGTCTTATACAACACCCCATTAATACATCCCACAATCTATTGCTTTTTGCTTTTTTTGCAACTACATCATGCTGTTGGGATTATATTCAGTCTGAGACCCACTATAATCCCCAGATCCTTTTAGCAATACTTCCTAAGCAGTTTATTTGCCATTTTGTACTTGTAAATTTGATGTTTCCTTCTTAAGAATAAGTACCTCACATTTGACTTTGCTAAAATTTCATCCTTTTAATTTCAGACCAACACTCCAATTTGTCAAGGTCATTTTGAAGTCTAATCCTGTACAGGTTGGACCTCCCAGATCCAGCGCCATTGGGACCTGACCGGTTCCAAAATGAGAGAATTTGCCATACCAGGGGAGGTCCCCTACCTCTGGCCCCCAAGTCTACTGCCTGCTGCTGGCAGGCTACCCCAACAAGCACCTTGCATTGCTCACCCACCAAACCTGGCTGGGCTGCTCACCCAGCTGCTGTCGGCTCCTTGGGGCTGCTCTGGGTCTCCGGCTCCAGCCCTGTACTCTCTGGGGCCGTCATGGGGCTCCAGCCCTATGCTGTTGCAGGACTCCAGGCAGGTCCCACGATGCCCCCAGGCTGCCAACCCTGTTGTCCCCACCCCCAGCTGGCCCTTCAGCTCCCAGGCTCTCTGGTCCAGGAGCATCCATGGTCCTGCTGGATGATGGGATGTGGCCAGACCAGAGAGTTCCAGTTTTCAGAGGGAACTTGTATTCCAAAATGCTTGTAACCCCTCTCAGCTCAGTGTCATCTTGCAAATGTTATTAACACACATTACTCAAACCCTTAATGAAAATATTGAATAGCAGTGAAGTTGCCAGCAGATGTGTCCTCCCAAATGAACAGGAAATTTAAATTAATGTTTGTTTTCACAGAAATTTTTTGGTCAGCCCCCTTTTAACAAATGTTCAGTAATGAAACTGTCCTTCACGGAGCTAAGAATCTTTCTCTCTCTGATCAGGAATCTCTCTCTCTCTTCACATGCTACTTGCTCAAGGCAGATCTTGATATTACTAGTTATCCTATCTTTACTGAGTACTTCAAACCATAAGGCTAGTTTTCCAGAACACTTAGCCCATTATTTGATTCTTTTTCATTTTTGCTAAAGAATTTACATTTTCCTCTTATGCCTTCTACTATGCAATGCCTCATTGCTGTGCCCTTGAGCCTCTTCTCTACTCTTTTCCTGTTTGATATACCTAATGTTATATACAATGGTTATAGAACAATAAGATTATAACACAGTATAATTTATGATTTTTTTTTCTATTTTCTTTCTACTACGTATAAGTGAAAGGCAACTTAAGAAAAATTCAACAATAATTTAAAATATTACCTGGCGGAAAGCTGTAGTTTCTTTCATGACATTCTTGTGATTTTAATCTTTTTACAATGATCATTCTTGACCACCTGCAGCATATACACTTTAAGGGAAAAAATTAAAAATAGTTACTTTGTAGAAATACTTTTTTTAAAATTGTAGTAACTCCTTGCACTGTCCTTTTCCTAAAATGACTATTAATGATATCTGCAGCAAGAAATGCATGAATAGTCTGATAACATTTTCATGCATCTCTTGCTTCAGCTATTCTGAATAATAATATTTGGACACTTGCAGGCATCTCAGCATTACTTGTTAGAGTCAAAGACCAAAACCAAATCCAAACCCAACACAATTTTAAAAGCCTAATGAAAATACATGTTAAAGTTAAAGAGTACAGGCAGTCCCCGGGTTACATGCAAAACAGGGACTGTAGATTTGTTCTTAAGTTGAATCTGTATGTAAGTCGGAACTGGCGTCAGCCGCTGCTGAAACTGATCAGTTTCAACAGCGGCTGAATCTGGATGCCAGTTCTGACTTACATACAGATTCAACTTAAGAAACCCAGACATCCCCAAGTCAGCTGCTGCTGAAACTGATCAGCGGCTGATTCCAGGAAGCCTGGGGCAGAGCAACTCTGTCTCGGGCTTCCTGTAGTCAGCCGCTGGTCAGTTTTAGCAGCGGCTGGATCTGGA